GATTTAGCTAGTTAAATCTATCTATGTAGAATCTATCTATCTATCTATCTATCTATCTATCTAAATCTATCTATCTATCTATGTATTATCTCTAAATCTATCTAGCTAAATCTATCTAGCTAAATCTATCTATCTAAATCTATCTCACTATCTAAATTGTTGCAGCAACAATTTAGATAGTGAGTTTAGATAATATGACATAGCCTTTCCTTTCAATGAAACAATTTTTGTGTTTTGCTGTTTCTTTGTAAAGTTTGATTCAGTTTAATTCTATCTACAGGAGCACTTTGTCACAACTTGTTGGACATTCTGTATATAATTATATATAAAATATGTCAATTTTTTATATAATTACAAATAATTTTATATAATTATATAACTCATCATAAAAATGAATTCTAATAATGCCACAATGTTGAGAGAAAAAGAAAAAGTATAAAGGAAAAATACAAGAAAAAAAAAAGAGAAACAGGGAAAGATTTAGAAGAATTATATGAAAAAAATGTTTTATACACTGAAAAAAAAGATTGATTGCTGCAACAATTTAAACAGTAAAATATAGCATAGCATTTTTATATGGCTGCAGTTTATATGGCAACCAGTTTTTGGTTGTATTGTTACACAATTGAAAATTTGCTGCTACAATCAAAAACTGGTTGCTGCAGCCATATAAAAATGCTATGCTGTATTTTATTATTTAAATTGTTGCAGAAACCAATCTTTTTCTTCAGTCAAACAATTTTTTGTAAAGTTTTTTGTAAATTTGATTGATTTTAATTCTATCTACAAGATCACTTTGTCACAATTTACTAAACATTCTGTATAAATTGTATATGTCAATTTTTTTATATAATTACAAATAATTTTATATAATTATATAACTCAACATAAAAATGAAGTATGAAATATTTTTTTCGTGTAGCTTTTAAGAAAATAATTTTTTCGAAATCTCTCTTTTTCTCTCTTTTTCTCTCTCGTATTTTTCCTTTATACTTTTTCTTTTTCTCTCGATTTGTTGTACATTCCTCGAATTGTAACATTCCTAGAATTCATTTTTATGCTGAGTTCCGAATTGTTTCGCACGTGCTCGCAATATATACCTTTTCCTGACTTTTGGAGGGAACTCTAGGAGTGGGTGTCTCTGGTCTTGATGAAATCGGTGTTAATTCAACTGATGCAGATTCGGCAGATGTAGCGAGACTGCTAATCCCACTAGATTCGCTTCCGCTACTTGGAGAAGTTCGCCCGGAATCGGACAAATTTCTCATATTTTGTTCACGTTCAATATTAAGAAGCTTCATACTGAGCGCAGAAAAATGGTCTGGATCTAAACCGAATAAAGGTAACGCTAACGTCAGTGCCATTGTTGGTAGACCTTGTTGGCGTAGCCCTTATATCTCCTTGTACGACGAGTAGTGACGAGATGATATCGACTGTTGATATATATATTATAATTAGAATAGGCATGTAATATTTACAAGAATGAGATTAATCGTCACATTAAAACGACCTCTGATCATCGACATTCTACATATTTTTTGTTCACGTTAGCACTTTGCATGTATCCCATTTAAATTGTTTAAAATAGAAAAAACGGACGTTCGTAATTGAAAGGAATTCTCACATGCACTTTGCAAGATTTTTCTCTCGATCGCGTGATAAAACACTTGCGCGGTATTTTTTGATCAGAGTTAACGTTATTAACATAAGAATATAACCTTAGAACGTGCTGTATAACCACCTGTAAATTATTCGGAAGAAAATTGCTCCGTTCGAGAAAAATTAGTACGTTTTTTTATTTTTCTTGAGAATACACGCACCCCATTAAATCGAATGTGTATTTACTATTTTTTACAATAAAATTTCACTTTCGTCTTAATGTATTACCTGAATTATAATAAAAGTAATAGAACCACTTTAAGCTTGCGAACCGTTACGATGTCAACCGACAACTGAAAGCGTCCTGCGTTGTATATCCTGCTACATTATAATGTGATGATAAACACGACCTTCTAATGTTTCGAATAGCAAGTGACTAATCCAGTTATATTATATTTTATTAGTATTTAATGTTAAATATTAAAAAGACGGAAAATCAATAGCAGATAATTTTTTAAACGAAAGATTTTAAATGAATCAATAAAATACATAAATAAATTTTGCGATTTCTGTTTTATAATTAATTTAATTATTTGCATACTTAAACTTTGCTTGGAAAATTAAAAGTTTTAATTAAAAATAAATTAAATTTGAAAAAAAAATATTAATAGAGACTGAATTTAAGGTTTTTTTTTATACAAAATTGCGAAAGTGAGATATAAAAGAATCAGCAATAGCTCAGATGGTTTAAACTTTCTTTTACCTTTCTGTTGAAATTGTAGGTCCCCTATCGTTTCTTGCTCGCATGATATTATTCCACCATAAGTTGGGAAGTCTTCTTTACCGACGAGGATGGTAAGGTCATTTTCTATTGGTACCAAATTTGCTGTATGGGGCTGTGGTACATGCAATTCCTCTCTTTAGCAAGGATGTTTCAACCGAAGTCTGCTTTACCGACTGCAATCATTTTTTCATATAACTTTTCCTACATATAATAATTATTACTAAAAAATTGTTACTAAGTAATATTTACAAAATGATTTGATATACTTACAATTATAACAACTTGTAACAATAATTGTTTCGGTATTAAATATTGTAATAACTGAAATTCTTACCATACGACATGACGCTGGTAAATAATACATAGGGTAACCGTGAGTCCTTGTTAATTTCTTGTCTCGTGGATTTATTTACTCGAGATTCCGCTAGGATATTATTATATTGAACGTCTATTACTAAAATTTATTAATTATTATTATAATTTTACGATCCTGATGCATCATTTTCATATAAACTTTTTTTTTGACAGTATTTTTTATTTTATTTTTTTTACATAAGACAGACTAATAAAGATACGTTTAATTTAATATATTTTCGTATACTGGACTGATTGTGAGCTTTCTCGCAAGTATAGGTTTGAACATTACATTCTTTATAAGGCATATAAGAATACAGTTAAATCAGGTGGTCCGACGCTACTCAGGGATCGTCGAGGAAGACGGAGACGTCTATATATCTGTACGGATCTATTGTCTGAAATCGACGGGATGGTTTTCGTTCTTAGTCTTTCAGCTATCTTGTACGCTCAGACTCCAGTGGATGCTCATTTATATAGCTTCAATTGATTTTTCGGGCCAGAAGGATATCGTTGGGAAAGTTTAGTCCAGCAACTTTTAAATATTGTGGATATTTGCCTGCTCCTTTCTATTTCGTCGAACTTCCATGCAACGGTCTGTGGTGACAGAGGAGAAGAAAAAAGTGTCCCTATTGCAAAGGGAGATTTGATTTGTGCGGTGAGATTTCCAAAAAAACCACACAAATTTATCGCAAACAAAAAAGTGGGGGAAATATATGAGGGCGAGCCTTTGATCTCCAATACAGGGCTTTCCTTCTTCGTGATATTGCTGATATGGCTACAATTACGCACCACAAGCGTGTGTATTATATATATATATATGTATATGGAGTCAAGAAAAAAAGAGCTTTCAAGAAGAAGAAGAACCACGATGATTGAGAGACGAAACAAAATCATGCGTAGTTTATCTATATATATATTTATTAATTGGATTGTCCTTTCTAAAAGAAGAGGGAGCAAGAATCAACTAATGATAATCCCCCCAGTGGCGTTGCATAGAAGAATTTCTATAAAACGGGGAAGGAAGTATACTCACGATAATGGTACCAAAATGTAGATACTCTCTCTCAAGACTTCTCTCAAGCCTTCCCGGATAGAGTTATCTTCGAATAGAGAGTGGAGTCAAAGCCGAGAAACGTTTTCCCGTAGTATGCTACGATGAGGCCAATGATTGAGTTAAAGATGTTGGTAAATAGCGGCTGAGGATGTTTACGGAAAATATTATAATGGGCCCAATCCAAACATACTTCGTGCCGACTAAAAATGACAGACGCGTGCACATCGAATCATAATATGTAAGACAATTGGCTACTTAGCGAAGAAACGGGATATCTAAATCTTTCCTGCGATTTCTGTACGGCTCATATGGAGTTGTGAGTGTTCATGGGATTCTTTGCGAACCTGACCTGGCTGCGAGAACATAAGAATGAACTGCTTGAAATCAGTTGGGATTTCTTGCGAACTGTAGTAGCACCGTCGACCATCATTTTGCACCGAAATATAAAGTCTTTTTTGCTCCATATCTTAATTAGTTTTTGCATAAAAATGACTTGAAGCATTTTTTAAACCGATGATAAACTGATGATGATGAATTGTATTGAATAGTGATAATATTAATGAATATATATCTACATCTCTGTGCACGGTATATCTAATAAAATAAGATGCTAAATATTACTTTTCTCGCGATGCGAACGTTTATTAAAATTTCTCTCTGAATCAGTAAAATGAAAAATCAATAGAACGATCTTTTTATCAAAAACTTTATTAGCAATTATTTGAATGTATAAATATAAATAAAGTATAAGATTCAGTTATTATAATAATAAATTAATTTAAAGGCCGAGTACGACAAATACAAAGAATATTATAAATAGGAATAAGTATCTTAATAAAAATTATATGCATTATATTGAAAGCGGGGCATGTTTCGACTTAACTACAGTCTTTATTAGCCGCAAGTGTTTAATAACATATTACATGATTTATTAAAATGCGAACAGTTTGAAATACATTTAAAATTGAATGAATAGAAATACGAAGAAGATACTATTATATATTCGTAAAGTTTAATAACATAAATATATTATATATACATTTAATAATTAAATATAGTAATGTTTATATTATTAATTTGTGCATTTTGTGATTTTTTTTGTATTTTTTCTCTTATTTGATTTTAAATTAATGTATTCTGAACCATATCGATTGTGTGTAGTTTTATTCAATATTTATTGCTGATGAAGATTGCAGTTATGTCGAAACTTATTTCTGTTTTTGGTTATACATCTTGGTATATAATTTTTATTAAAATACTTGTATTTCTATATTTATAACATATATATTTTGTATTTGTTTGTTTTCGGCTTTTAAATAAAATTTATTTGAATTTGACAAAAACATTAAATATTTTACAGAATACATACATATATATATGCAATAGCGAAGATAATTGTGTTGTACATATAGAAAATATATATTAATTTTCTATATGCATTATTAATTCTTATTATGTATATATATATAGCTTAGAAAATATTTTATATTTATAATAAAAATTAAATGCAACTGTGCAATGTTATAATGGAGTTTCTGATGTGTGTGTTTGTGAAATTAGCACGATATTCTAAATATATAAAAAAAATGATTATTTCAGTAACACTTTTCATAGTTCTATATATAGTTCCTTGTAAATATAAAAAAGCCATTCGTTATATAAAAACCTAAAATTAAAAAATCAACAGTCAGAACTCTTTAAAAATAATTATAGTGTTGTGGAATTTACTAGAATTAATAAAAAATGATGACACAAGAATTGCGATAAATTATCAGTAAGACATTGTTTTTCCAAGTGTCAAGATGTCTTCTGCATTTAAAGTCTATTAAAATTGATAATTGTTGGAATTTTGTTTTTAAATTACATGCATTGATACAACTCGAGCAGTATTAACGGGAATTGTAGAACTATGAAAAGTGCTATTGGAACTGTCATTATTTATTGTATATTAATAGAATGGAATATTAACTTGACACATGCGTTCTTGATATGCTTGTGACTCTGGTACCTTCTGATGTATGTACCTACACTAGAATTCTATGTTACCGACATACAAGCTCTAATTTCGAATATCGTCGTATGCCACCAGAGAGCCCTCCTTGATACATTGAACCCTTTTGAAAGAGTTTAAGGACTTTTCACAAAAAAGATTAGTAGGGTTTTACTTTGAAACTTCATATTGATAAATGCAAATATTTAAATTTTGTGTGTGTGTGTGTGTGTGTGTGTGTGTAATTACGTTTTTTTTATTTGTCTAAAATTATGCACATATCATGTTATTTATATAAAAAGCTTATTTAAGCTAATAATCTTTTAGCAATAATGCGATATAGTTAACGTAACTTTATTTCAGCTATATTTATATATATTAATAAATAATATTTTATTTTTTAGAAATCTCTATATCACGATTTTTCATGGTTTCTTAATTAATTATTTAGTAACTTAAATATGAAATTATATAAAAAGATTTAAATACGTTTATGACTCTATTCATAAGGACATTAAAACAATATTAAAGCATAAACAGAACAATGTACAACAGTCATTTATTCAACTATTTTCTTATCGAAGAAGATATACACTCGTATTTCGAAGGTTTGCATATC